ATTTTGTACCGTTGCAAATTTCGCTTTAAACGCTTCTTTAATTTTCAAACTTTGTTGCGGAAATTGTGTGAAAGTGAAGCTGTTTCATAAGAAACGGGGTTCATCAGAACTTTCTGCGCAAAGAACAACCCCAGAAAACTATGTTCTTCTGTCAAACTTGTAAGCTACTGTCGAACAAGACGCATTCGTAAGTGTATTCGTTCGTAATGGAACAGAAACTTCAGACCGATATTTCTATGAAATATGACTATGAAAGGAAGGATGTGAGCAAGAAACTGTACGAGAAAGCGAATGTTTCATCGTAGAAACATTTTGCTGGAGAGTGTTATTCATTCAAAAAGAGGTTATGATCTGCTGCGCGCAACTAATCGAGATACGTAAGTAACAAAGCAACAGATAATACACCACCACAATGAATAAAGCTGTGAAGCATGCATAAGCAACGAATCATCACCTTCATTCGCATCATCAACAGCCAATTCATTATCTTCGTCCATGTCCACTTCAATCTCGATATTCTCTCCTTCCTTCCCACCATCATTCTTCGCTTTGTTTTGCTCAGCAACACCACAAGCTGCCGCAATTTTGAGTTGTTCTTCGAGTTGTGAATGACTTACGTTCAACACAATCGTATCCATTTTGGATGGTATTCACTGAATTATTTCGTCGCTGACGGCAAAACACTGCTGATATTAAACAGTGTACTCGGAATAGAATAGCTGATCACTTCAATAAAAATCGATCAATCTGAAGCGTTCAAGTCAATTCGACTCCCTCCAACGGCGAATCACTTTCCGGTGGATAGCTGAAGTTTTGCCGAACGATGACGTTAATATATCTGAACAGGAGACGGGATTTATATCCTGAAAAGAATTGTTTCGGTTTTACTGCAGTATCGAGCATGAATTTGGTTGGTTCTCGATGCTGCGATTCGTTAAGATTATCATATCACATCAAAATACATAAACGGAAAGATCATGAATTACAGAACTCAAAAAAAAAACGATAGCGAATGGTAGAGATTAGATGCAATAAGACGGATGCGCAAAGACGATATCAGGTAATAAAAAAGTGCCATTTATTGATAAAAGAGAGACATGCCAAAAACTCGTGATGAATTGTAATTGCAAACCAAATGAATAAATTAATAGGCTTGCACTAAGCCAGTAAATGAATAAATAAATAATTTAAAAGAATGAATTTTTTTGCGAAGACAAGCGATACCTCCGAATTCCTAACAAATAGTCAGTCGTATGTGAAGAATGATGAATAAGAAGAGACAATGCCATCGACGATCGCCATAATTCAATGACAGCAATGTTCTGCTTGCTACTAAATATAGTCCTTTCATCATCGCTTTAGCTGCTGCGCTTCTAACATAGTTCATTCACCGCCAACTGAACTCATCTTGTTTCTGCGCTGTTTACGCGAACAATCACAAAACATTCATTACAAAACAGTGTGAAATCACATCAGAACGAATCAATGCAATTTTCAGCTCGAAACGTTTCAACTCATCGCACATCAGCTGAGATGTTGACGATACAATTCGTTGCTATTGTCACCGTTTTGTGATCGCATTCACGTCAAATCAAATTACAAATAAAGATTCAAGGCCAGTCAATAGTTCAAACGAAAGAATATCACTTCTTTTGGTCATTTCTTTCATACTTCTTGCATTTTTTCATCTGCTGTCTATGAGTACATTACAAGCCTAACAATTATGGACTGAAGATGNAGACTAAGATTCTATTATCATAATCCAGGTATAATTTCATTTCTAGTTCTCAAATGCTCAAGTCGTATTTCTTTCTCAAAAACGAAACAACGCCACACTGTTGCCCTATGGCATTCGTCGTTACGAACCAATCTTTATCCCATAAAATAACCATTTCAGGAATTTCAATGCACTAATCCAGTGCTATAGACATACGCACACATTCTTTTCAAGATCCATTCCATGCAAGACAAACGAATGACCAACGCACGCTGATCACGTTTAGTAGAAAAATTATCAATCGATCCAAATCATTTAGTTCTGATTATGGATGCATGCGCAATTCTTGGGTACCTTAGTTTTCCAGTGTCAAGATGGCAGTGGCGGAATACCACCTCAGGTGCAAATCTTGGATCCTAGTTCACTGGATATCTTGAATATTTCAAGTTTTCATAGTGGTCTTCTCAGCTCTTCGTAATTCTCTTCTCAGTAGCAAATTGTGAGATGTTTGTAATAATGATGGATGGTAATAGCGAAGTTGCGAAAACAGTTGCCATATTCAGATGAGTTTTCTCGAAATGAAATGAAGATGATAGCAAATCATACACTGAAGTGATGTTTGACAGTGCTGGTACGACGAAGACGAGTGAGTGTTGTGAATTTCATTTCTCGGTCACTGCTAATTATCTTCGACGTAGGTTGATTGAATGAAGATGTTACAATACGAACCCAAAACAGCAAATTAAGAATGGTATCAGTCGTCGGCTATCGTTCTATTATCATCACCTCTGCTGTATCAGTATCAAGGACAGTCATGCACTCTTCTATAGCTGCTGTTGCAACGTGAACCAATAATATGGTATTATTGGTTGCATTTGAACTGTAAAGTTGTTTATGATTCAACCAATTTGAGCACTACATTTGAGCAACATGCGCGCCTTTCAAGGATTCACTAAATGAAAACTACATCACACTCTATCTCCTCTATCTGTGATATTGAAGATTCATCTCGCCGAGTTATAAACACTNNNAAGTATACCCTCGACTGGAACTGAATTCGTTATTCGAGCAATGCATTTCAAGAACAACCACGGGCTATAGAACAGTCTTAAAACTTTTTCTATCTTATTCTGCGGATCGTACTTTTTAGTTACAGGTAACAATATGATTCGTGGATCATCGTGAGGATCATTCCTAAACTATGATATGACAACACAGAGCAATACGTTTGCTGTTGACTGTATGAAATTGAATGAGTTTTTACTGTTCGAAAGATTTAATTTTCGTAATTCAGTGTTCTTTTATGCAGTCAAGGACGAACAATCGAAAGAAACAAAAAAGCTAACAATAAGAACAAGTAGGAACAGATCTTTCGGAAGTATGAATCAATACGAACTTTCTGATCTTGAAATTCGAGGACTTTATGCGGCTGTTCAAGAATAGCTTTCGGGAGAGAATTTCGAATGTAGAAACACATTAAATTCGACATTATACTTTGAAATATGATACAAATTGGTCGGGAATTGTGAAATTGTACAATATATTTGTTGAGCGAGTTTATGTGTTGATCAAAAATGAACAAAGAAAGAGATGAATGAAGTGAACCTGAAATTCTACACTTTCTTGACAACAAAACAAGCAGGCTATGGTAAAAAAATGCAATATTGCTCATATGACGTGCTATAACTTTAAGGAGTGATTTTGATTTTGGGTACAGCATCAAAACTTTATGTGCTTCCATAAACAAACAAAAATAAGTCAGTAAGTCAGAGGTTTGAAGTCAGGGGCTCACATCTACAGATTCAAATGATAATGAAAGTAGCTAATTGAATTGCTCATAGAAGATAGAGGTTTAAAAAACGATAGTCGAATATGCTAGCAATTGATTAAAAGCCCGGACTAAGAAGAGACAAGATGCGTGCAGAAATAAATTTGGAAACAAATTCAAAGAGAATCTATAAGCAATAAAAAGAAGCAAGGTTGAGTGTGGAGGCATGCGAAGAGCAACTGAGAAACGATTGTCCGGTGGTCGAATAGGAAGGATATGCACCAATATGAGCATCGATGACACTGGAGCGGATTGGATGGCTACTGTCACGATGGTGGACGGTGCTGACGGTCATCATATGCGCGAACTTGTGAGGAGCCGTGATTTGTGGGAGGGAGAGAGGAGACGATGAAAATAAATGAGAGAGGGGAACGCATAGATGAAGAAAAAATTGAAGACAGCTGAAAGAGATGGCACATGCTGCTGGGCGTACGGGGTCAAGTCGACAGCCACGACACCTATCACCTATTCAAGTCGCCCGTCACCTGGTGGATGACGACCATTTCAAAAACCAGTCAGTCGTCTGTCATGAATTATCTCTTGTTATGATGTTAGCCACCAATTCATCCATTCATGCACGCATACAAACAAATACCAACCTCTACACACAAAAATAGGATAAAGAGAAGTCACGACAGAAATAACGACATGGCAAAATGTCATCGTGAAGTGCACTGATTTGCTGTGATTCTGGGAAGTTTACTGCTCGAAACACTCGAAAAGATTTAATCGTTGCAGAGAATAGTTTATAGTCCGACAGCAATTGGCTTTTGAGTGGAAGATGCGCACTGCCTTATCGCTTATAGAGGTCATCACTGATGTTCCCACTGAAAAGTTCCATGTTACACATTCAGTTCGAAAAAAAATGATCCATTTGTTGATTGTGTTGCTGACATAACTGATTTTTCGTTGCTTAAAAATCGAACAGAAGGAGCTCAGCCAATCAACATGAGAGACAACGATCCAAACTGTTTCGAGAATTAACGCTAGTAGAAACATGCGAGGAAGAAGATTCGAACTTCAGCATCTAAACCTTGAAAGTGAAAATGCAAGGACAGGGTTCTGAAAGAGCATTATTTGGAACAACTCCGAACGATCATATTAGCACAGAGAGAAATTGAGACAAACTTAATTGTGACTTGCAGTCGTGTGTATTCGTAAAGTTGTAATGATTTGAAGTTTCAGAATTGGTAAGATTCGAAAGTATGGTCTTTGTGAAGTGAAACATTTTGAGTTCTTGCTTTCGTGCATGCAATCGGTCGTTATTTTTGAATGAGTGGCTCTCCACTCGCAATGCCGCAACAAAACACCGCTCTAAGAAGATTTAAGATGTTATTTCTGAATTCTCAGACCTTTGTCACCCTCTAAAAATGGTGATGCGTTCATGCAATGATCTAATGCAATCGAAGTCTAATGAAGTAAAAATTTAATTCGATTATCAGAATCGGTTCATTTGATTGTAACTATTATGATCAGTATTCAAATCCACTTCGTTTCGATAAGCAAACTCAAAAACAAGAACTGGTATGCATGAACACAAAGAAATGCACATTGTGATGAAACGAAATGAGAACTGCGTTAAATTACATCTATTATCGTGGATATTGGAATGGAAAGGGAATAAATCAAAGCAAAGAAAAGCAAAAGAATGGAAGGCGGTTAATAGGGAGGTGGCACTCATTCATTAGATGAAATGCATTGGTTGGTATTGTAATTGGTCTTGAATGATGTTTTGGAATATGATTTCAAAGATCAGAGAGACGATGAGGTGTAGAGATAGACGTTTGGATGTGTACTTAAAAGCTGATGGCTCATGATCAAAGGGAAGTAATGAATCAGATAGGAACTAACTGGCTCGAGCACGAACCAAAAGAGGGTGAGTGAGCACAGAACTGAACTCAGCAACTATATATAATGAAATATGAAAAAAATTCGATTCGTAATGAGCATTAAACGTCTTCTTCACCAAAATTAATATTAGTGTACTCAAAACTGCACTCAGCTCTATCCATTCATCGACCCAAATACTCGCCTTCTCTGAGGAGGCAATCCAACATCATGCACGCTGTGATCTGATCTCAATTTCTTCCTTA